TTGTGGAGTGACCTGTGAAGTGACCTGTGAAGTGACCTGTGGAGTGACCTGTGAAGTGACCTGTGAAGTGACTTGTGGAGTGACCTGTGAAGTGACCTGTGGAGTGACCTGTGGAGTGACCTGTGAAGTGACCTGTGGAGTGACCTGTGGAGTGACCTGTGGAGTGACCTGTGAAGTGACCTGTGAAGTGACCTGTTGTTTATCTGTGAACCTGAACACTTCTGATGTGATAAAATGAATTGAGTAAAACATGAAATATTTTCGATCAGACGTTCTGACGGAGATCATGAAGAACATTTGAAACTTGGCTGCAGAGGAACTGAAGCAGCAGGTGGAGCTGAACAGAGCAGAGGAGAAACAAAGTAAACAGATGTTTGTTTGTTTGTTTGTTTGTTTGTTTGTTTGTTTGTTTGTTTGTTGAAGAAGAGAAGCTGTTTGAACAACACAAACCTGTGAAATCAGGTTTTGTTGACCTGCAGATTCAAACACACACCTGAGGAGTAAAGCTTGTTTCAGCCTCATCAAAGCAGAAGACAAACTTTTTTTATTTTTGTTTTAAACACTTTGGTTTTAACCTTCACGCTTCTGTGACGTCACGCACTGGAACCGGTTCTTAGAATTTCCAGATGTAAACACCTGATCTGATTTCAGTGAATACTTTGAACCAGCAGGTGTCGCTGTGTCACCGACTTTCGGTCCAGATTAAAGATCCATTAAAAAGAACCAGGTGCTTTTATTTTGAAACATTAGACTCAATCTGCTCCTGACACCGTAAATAAAATGAAATAAATGAAAAACTGGATCTTCTGATTTTAGACTGAAGGTAAGAAGCAGACTGGATGAGTTTTATTCTGAAAGGTCAGGCGGAAGTCTTGTAAACAGTAACTGCGCATGTCCGCAGCTGCCCAGCAGCGGGTGACGTAGAGCCGCAGTTCTCGGTTCTCACCGGGAGAAGGAGCGGCAGAACGTCACACGACGACCCGCATTGTTTACCCTGAACCCGACCGGAACCGGAGGCCCGTTCGGCTTCCTGGATGAAAGCAGAACCGGAACAGAGGCGACGGGAACCCGTCTTCCTGCCCCGGCAGTCCCTGTGGGGAGCGGCGGCTCGGTGTGACTGCGGCCCCTCCCGGACACCGTAGGACTGCAGGTGAGACCACACACCGGCGTCCGGTCCGGACCCTGCTGGTTCCGGTTCTGCTGTGTCTCTTGTGTTTAGGAAACAGCACAGTTACTGTCGTTAAAACAAACTTCATTCAGAGTCCGGTTCGACCCGGTTTAACGGGCTGGATCAGAACTTCATGACCCGTTAATGAAACCGGTTAAAAGAAAACCAACAAGGCCTGCCTGCCGGTACCGGTACAGAAAGATGGGTCGACACCAGTCTGTTACAGAGTCTCACCTGCACAGGTAGAAACAGAACAAAACATCTGTCCAGGTGTGTTTTTCAGGTGACGTCATCTGCTGCTAATCAAGAACCTGTGATCCTCCTGCTCACCTGAGCCTCCAGGTGTTCATGGTCTTAAAGACTGCAGTCCACCTGTTCTCCCTCACCTGTTCTGTCTCACCTGTTCTGTCTCACCTGTTCTGTCTCACCTGTTCTGCCTCACCTGCTCTCCCTCACCTGTTCTCCCTCACCTGCTCTCCCTCACCTGTTCTCC